GGGATTGCAATCTCCGACGAAAATGCATGATTGGACCATCGACCCCTGCCTAGTCACTCGTTTTCATCACCTACAGGGTTGGACTGCCATCTTTGGAGATGCGACAGCACGTTGCGGCCAGAGTCGCTCGTGAGTCGTGTATCGTCTTGATTGTGTGCGCCGTTTGTGCCGTACCCGTCCGGCAAGATGGGGTCGGATCATGTGACGATATTCCTATGCCTGTTGCGACTCTCCTCCTCTTCTGGCATAACACAGAGTTGTCCCACGGGCCGCACGCCGGCCAACCGGCGACAGGGAATGGCGGTGATCTGTCCAGAGCTGCAGGACTACAGGGTAGGTGACGTGAAAGGAAAGAATCGAGCACCACGAAAAGAAACGTCTTGGGCAAAGCACGTATCATCACGCCGTAACGGAACCTTGTAGAAGAAACTCATCAACGACCGTTGATGTTTACGTTGCGCATGCTCGACAATTCACATGGTCCTCCGTCTGTGAGTTCGTACTGGCGCCTGCCATGGCCAGGTGGAGGTGATTGGAGCGCGGGCTTCGGGAACTCACTGCTCACCCGCGCACGTAAGCCACCAGACGGCATGTGGCTGTGGCTGTGGCATGTGGCATGTGGCACGGAGGTGCCCGACTGCGCGAGTACCTGCAGCACCATCATCGTCACAAGACGAAGTCGGTCACTTTCGAAGCAAGGCGTTGCGTGTTGCGGACCACAGCTGCCCCAAATCATGCAATGAGCAGCGAGCTCTGCCCGGGAATGATTGACGACAACGACATCCTCTCGAACCCCCCACGATGGACGATCTTTCGGGCCTGGACTGGTCCAAACCGACGGCTCCGCGGCCCAAACCAACCTACAGCCCAATGACATCAAACCCATCGTATCCCTCGCTCCAGCCGACGCCATCGCCCGTTGCCTCGGGGCGCAATACGCCCGCACCGCAGGGCGCTGCCGTTGCCGCCTTCGCCAAGGCGTCCGCGTCCGCGTTCGCGCCCGCGAACCCCGCCCAGCAGGACAGCTTCAGCAACCTGCTGAGCTTTGCCGGTCAGCCAAAGCCGAAGCAGAACCTCTCCCTCGCCGAGCGGCAGGCACAGCTCGACGCGGAAAAGCGAAAGAAGGACGAAGAGCAGAGGAGACGCACCGAAGAGCAATTCGGCAGCGCACACCAGTGGGACGCCCTGGGATCGCGAGCCTTCACCCCTGCTCCCGCCACGGTGCTCGCTCCTCCCGGCAGCCAGTCGAAATGGGCGCAGGATGACGACGACGACTTGTTCGCGGCTTTCAACAAGGATACCATCGTGGACAACGCGAGTCACTACCCGCCGCCTGGCGGGCAACAGCGGGCTCCCGTGGAGGAGCAGGACACGAAGCAGAAGCAGAAGAAGAAGGCTCTTGATCTGACCAATCCGAGTGCCTGGGATACTGCCACGGCCATCTCGGGCGTGAAGACGGACGGCAAGGCCAACGGCAAGGCCAACGGCAAGGCCAACGGCAAGGCCAACGGCAAGGCCAACGGCTTTGACGAGGATGACGATCCATTTGGACTGGGCGAACTCAAGCCGCGCTCCCCGTCGTTCATGACGCCGACAACGGTGGCGGCATCAACACCTGCCGACGACGATGACTTTCTCGGAGACCTTGCCAAGCCAGTTGAGGAGATTCGCATGAAACAACAGCAACAGCGGCAGCAACACACACGAGGCGAACCCGGAAGACCGATCGAACATTCCGAGTCAAGCTCGTCAGAGGACGACGGTGCGCGGTCAAGAGCTCGAGAGCAAGAACACAGAGGAGGTCGCGGCGCCAACAAGGAACTCGACCGCGCCATCGCCCAACTCGTCGACTACGGCTTCTCTGCCGAGGATGCTCGCAGGGGTCTCCGTCAGAGCGGCTCCGGGCTCAACGTCCAAGCCGCGGCCAACTGGCTGCTGGATGACGCGCACAGGAAGGCAAAGGAGAACGCTCATGGCAACGGCTCCTTCAGGGCGCCCAGGCGGGCGGATGAGGAGCCCGAGCGCAGAGTCGCGGCATCGTCTGCGAGGAGCGCCGACGTCGATTTGGCAAAATCCGCCGCCGCCGTGGGCAGCAGCCTGTTCAAGACGGCAAACTCGCTCTGGAAGACGGGCCAGAAAAAGATGCAGCAAGCAGTGGCGGAATTCCAGCAGGACGGAGGTGATCCGAGCCAACCCAAGTGGATGCGCGGCGGCGCAGAAGAAGGGCGCCACGCAAACCTGGGCCGCTTCAGCCAGGAAGCAACTGATGAAGCTCTCGCTCTCGAATCAGGGGGCCGACCGGGTCGAAGCCGTCCCAAGGCAGAGTCCAAGAATGGCTCGCAGCAAGCCCGCACGTCATCGCCAGCGGCGCCGTCCCTGGGGCCGCAGGCTCGCAACAGCCCGGTGCCTCGGTGGCAACAACAACAACAACAACAAAAAGTGACACCCGGCGTGTCGGACGCGCGGTCTAGGTTGAGTCGGATGAAGGTGGACGATGACGACAGTTTCTCTAGCTACGTCAGCGCCGGTCGTAGAAAAAAGACGACGCCGACGCCGACCCCATCCGAGCCACCAAAGTCCCGGGAAGCCGATCCCGATCTGCTGTTCAATACAGAAGCCCTTGATTCGTCACGGTCCTTACCCCAACGACCTGCCGAACGACAGACACCGCTCGCCCCAAGACAACCCCAAGTCGCTCTGCCGGCTTCCAGAAAGCCGACACCGAGACCCCCCGCTCGCCGGATTCCCCCAATCGACCCCGCCGCGTTGCAAGCGTCGACCAAGCACCGCCTCGAGGGCACGGCGCACTTCAAGCGCGGAGACTACGCGACGGCCCAGTCATCCTATTCTCGATCGCTCTCCGCGATTCCCGCCGGCCATCCGCTCATGATTGTCCTACTTACAAACCGTGCCCTCACGTCTCTCAAGACGGGCGACATTGAGCAAGCCATAACGGACGCGGACGAGGCCCTGAAGCTCATCGGCCCCGCGAACGGCAAGGGCGAGAGCGTGGCCGTCCAGGGGGCCGATGGCAAACAAGAACACAGAGACATGAAGGAGCTGTTCGGAAAGGCCCTGACCCGAAAGGCCGAGGCGCTGGAGCAGCGAGAGAAGTGGACCGACGCCGCATCCGTGTGGCAGCGGTGCGTGGAAGCCGGGGTCGGCGGCGCAACGGCCATCCGGGGCCGTCAACGATGCCAAGCCGCGCTGGCACCGAAGCCGAAGACGCCGGCGCCCAGGCCGGCGAGACCACCGCCGGGGGCTTCTGGTTCGGCGGCGGCGCCGCAGAGGGACTCGGAGGCCGTGACCCGACTTCGCGAGGCAAACGAGGCGGCCGCCCGGGAGGATGACGAGAAGTTTGCCCTGTCGGACCGGGTCGACGCGAGGGTGTCTGCGTGGCGAGACGGCAAGCGGGATAACCTGCGAGGTCTGATTGCCAGCCTGGACCAGGTGCTCTGGGAGAATAGCGGATGGAACAAGGTTGGCCTGCACGAGCTGGTCATGGCCAACAAGGTCAAGATGTCGTACATGAAGGCGATTGCCAAGACTCATCCGGACAAGGTATGCTCTAGCCTGTTTTTGGCGATTTTCTTTTCTTCTTTTCTTCTTCTTCTTTCTACGTCTTTCTCTTCTCTTTCCCCTTGGGTTTTCCATTCTTCCTCTTCCCACCCCAAGAAATACGCGAGAAAATTCCGATCACGCGGCCCGTTCACGTGCGCTCCATCAAAGCATGCCTTGCTGATGGATCGTGACAGCTTCCCCGGGATGCCAACACGGAGATGCGACTCATTGCCGGGCTGGTGTTTGCGACTCTCAACGAAAGCTGGGATAAGTTCAAGGCGGAGAACGGCATGTAGGAGACACGGTCGGTGTCAAGGTGGGCCCTTGATGAGGGCGAACGAGGAGCGCGTGATGCGTCGCGGCCCAAAGGGGACGTCGAGTCCAGTGCGAGGGACGGTCCTTTGACGCGTAGAGTAGTCGCCGGGGAAAAGAAAGAAGACCAAGAAACCAAAAATATATACAATAAACCTACATCAAGTGCACATGCATCCGCAATCGTAAGAAAATCAGCACGCGCGCCATGCAAAAAACTTCTGAGAATGCGCAGAAACAATTCCAGGATATGCCCCGTAGCGAACCGGTGTATTCCGAAAGGAAAAAAAAAAAAAACAACAACAAAATCCACAACATTCCCAACTCCCCCTTCACAAGCCCAGCATCCGCCTCACCCCGTCCCGAACCTTCTTCTCATACTCGGGCCTCCTCTCCCTCCACATCTTGGCCGCCTCCACATTGGCGGGGCTCTCGTCGTTGGGCTCGGCAAGCATACTCATGACGGATATGAGGATCTTCTCAACGGACTGGATCGGGGACCACCGCTCCGAGGCGTGCTCGTAGTGATTCGGGTCATCGCCGGGGGGATGCAAGATGGAGATGCAGACCAATCCGCTCGGGTAGACTATTCCGCAACACCCGTCAGCGGGTTTCCCTTCCCGTTTTTCCACGGGGGGGGGGGGGGGGGGGCGCGACGTACCGTTCGGATGCCAGATGTCCGCCACGAACTTCATCGTCGGCGGCGCGAGCGGGTAGTCCTTTGGGAAGCGGAGCTCGGCGGGGAAGACGCCGCCCTCGAAGGGCGTGCCCTCGGGTCCCTGGATGAGGCATTCCCAGTGGAGGAGGTCGTCTTCGGAGAGGGGGCCCGCGGTGATGCCCTCGGGGGGGTTGTTGGTTAGGGCGCGGTATTCCTGGAGGAGGCGGCGGTGGGCGGTGGATTGGGCCATTTTTTCGCGTTGGTGCTGCTTGGGTTTCGTCTGCGAGGCGCCTGTGTTGTCGGGGTTGCTGGGTGCTTTTCTGGATGGGATGATGGTGTGACGGGTTGGTCGGGCTGTGGTGGGTGACGTGGGAGGGGGAGTGGCGGGGTATGGGCTCCCTGCTTAGGCGTATATAATGCGAAATAAGACTGCATGGTTCAACAGTTCTAGGATATCAGCCTGGTCACATCCGATGTGGTGTAGTGGCTATCATACTGCGCTTTCAAGGAGACTTGCAAGTGCCGCAGGGATCGGGGTTCGATTCCCCGCATCGGAGATTATCTTTTTCAAGTTTTTTCTTTTGCTTGGTCGGAAGATGTCGTTTTTTTGCCCTTTAAATGCCCCGAGGCGTGATACATCCCTTGATTCTTCTTTTCCTCTGTCCAGCCATAAAGTAGACGCGGAATGTACGTTTGTCCATTTTACAGGTCGCGCACGTAGTCTATGCATGTAGTTGCAGGTGTACAAGTGCAAGGCGTCTACGTGGTCGTCAAAAGCTCTCTTCAAACGGCAATAGCGGATTTTTCAGGAGACCGACTGAAGCCATGGAAAACTCTTTTCTTTCACGTGGACGTTCAGGATACTTTCATCATCACAATATGCGCATGACCAGCTCCGTACTATCGCCTCTCGAACTATAGAATCCGTACACTACAGGATCTGTCTTCTCGTACAAAAGCACTCTTTGCTTTATTGTCCAACAAATGCGCACAAAGATGCATACAAACAGCAAGTCTCATCAAATCCGGTGTCCCATCCCGTCTCCAATGACCCGTCAATACCTGGCCAATAAACGAAGCAGTGTTTCGCATCTGTTTGCCTTATCACTTTGCCCGTTTCAAGGCACAAACAATCGTTATATCCGCAAAAAAAAAATGATGAAATAAAAAGAAAAGAAAGGAAAGGAAAGGAAAGGAAAGGAAAGGAAAGGAAAAGAAAAGAAAAGAAAAGAAAAGAAAAGAAAAGAAAAGAAAAGTAAAGCAAAGTAAAGTAAAGGAAAGTAAAGTAAAGTAAAGTAAAGTAAAGCAAAGCAAAGCAAAGCAAAGCAAAGCAAAGCAAAGCAAAGCAAAGCAAAGCAAAGCAAAGCAAAGCAAAAGCAAAAGAGACCTCCGTTCTGTTATATTTCGCTTGGTGCGGTGCTCCAGCCACGAAAAAGTATGGGCACGTATCCCGTTACGACGAGTTCCCGTCAATCTCACCCTTACCACTCTGGCCCTTGGCTGCTTTCTCGTTCGATAACGCAAAATACGAGACGGACTGGATATTGGCACTCGTCTCTTCAAAGACCTCTGCCAACACTTTGTGGAGGCCGCCATCGTCGCCCTGCAGTGCACTTACAACAACTGATTCAACAGAACCCCCGTCCCATGTGGAAATGGCCGGGTCAACACGATCCGCATGGACATGCCCCGAGAGCTTCAGCCTCTCTTCGATGGCAATCCAAATGGAAAGAAGCTTTGCAGTGACAGCCAGGAAATTGATACCCGACAACGGCGCCGGACAACAAACACACAAATCTCGCCCCAATGCGTAACCGGTCATGGTAAACACCTGTGATTCGTGAATGTCCTTGCTGTCGGCGTGGAAATGAGGGAGATTGATACTGTGGCCCGGTGTCGCGAGTTTGGCGAGGCGCTTGCGGCTGTTGAATGAACTACGGTCCTTTAGGTGGCTGATCATGTTTCGTAGGCTGGCCTGCTCATTCAGACTAGAAATCCTGAGGGAGGACACCGCAGCGGTATCCCAACCAGCTTCGTGGAAAACGAGAAAAGACGATCTGGTTTTGAAGAAGCGCTCGCTCATGTAAAATTGCTTGAAAGAAGGTGTGCCGATCAGGAGTGGCTTGAGTAGTGAATAGGTGGTGAATCGCGATGCTCCCTTCCGATTCATAAATGCTTGATAGAAGTCGGAAGTGGGTGCTTTTTCGCCAAAGAGATCTGCCATGAACGCAGATGTCAACTTGGCCATGAGCTCCACGGCTTCTTTCAGAACACCCGTCTGATGTAACATGTTGTGCAAGTGCAGCATGAGAATTATCTCGGGGTTTGTATCCCAGATGAGCATGGCGTATCTGTAGAAAAGCTCAATAGTCTGCAAGGTAGCGAAGCCACAGAGAAAAGGAGACAGGTAGAAGAGACCGTGTTCATCCAGCCGCCCATCCGTGCCGTTTGCCCGAAAATCAGGGGCCGTTTCATTTCGTATATCAATGATGAACCGGTGGTGGAATCCCCAGTGCCTCCAAACCTCATCCAGGGTATCCTTACAAAAGGAGCCACGCCGCGTCTGGGCAGAAGAGTGAAGCTCTCCGAGCCACTCTCTCGATCGCGACAAGCCCTGATGATTGTGGCATTCGTTTGCACACGTGAGTCTAGTGAACCAGCCCATCGCGCCTTGGTTACAAGGTGGTCCGTCCTCGGCCGGGGGAGCTTCCAGAATGTGTCGGTGCAGTCCGACTGTCCAGCCTCGGGAAACCGTGAAGGAGTCCACGATGCACTGAAGTTGGAAGACAAGACACGGGGAAATCAGGCTCTCTATTTGGGAGCCAGCTGGTTTTCGAGCTAGGGATAAGACGGAACGAGCGAATTCACCCAGGCCAAAGAAGCTATAATCCTCCGCCCATGCCATGGCGGCTTTTCTGTTGGGGCAATTCCGGGATTTCATGTTGGTGCTCAAGTTGCCAATCTGCCCTTTCGTCAGCAAGTAGTAGCCGACTAGCCCGTACAGCCAATTGATTGTGTAAACTCTTCGCCATCTAAGTCTCTCATCAGCGGTAGCCGCTTCAAGATCGTACTTTGGATCCCACAGGCTTATTTCAGCCCGCATATGCTTGGTCGGCCCGCCGGACGACGTCTTTCGATAGTCGCTGAGAAATTCAACAAGGTTGTTGTATGCATGTTCCATGAGCAACTCTCGCATGGATTCCCGCGAGACTACGATCTCCTTCATGCTTACGCAACACGCGCCGTCCTTTGGTTGCAGATTGATTCGTATCGTTGTGTTCGGCTGCAGATGATGTATTCCTCCCTTTGTGTAGGCATTGATCAGACTCATGTAAGAGTGAGAGCCCGGGAATTCGCTCGAGATAGTTGTGTGAGATTTTTGCAGCACGGCAATGCTCTGTTCTGACATCGCGATGGCGTCAAGAGGCTGCTCATCGCTGTAGGCCACCCTGTACCAACTAGATTGGCACATACTTCGAAGATCGATGCTCTGCTCTAGAAATGAGGATACAGCGAGGAAATACTCGGCTGCGACATGATGATGATCATCCGAAATGCCATATTGGTCAATGGATAACGTGCGAAGAGGACTCTGCCGCTTGTGCTTCTTGTTGGAAGACTTTCGTCCACGAGAGCACTTGCCGTTTTTGTTCTTCGCAGCCTTGGGAAGCGCCTTCCTCGCACGACAACTTTGAGACGCTGCCTCACCGGCATCACAACCGGACACGTCCTCGGCCTCTTCCTCTTCCTCACTGCCGTCCACATGCTCGAGGTCCAGACACGCAAACACGTTGGAGCAAAAGGCCTGGCATTCCTCGTTGCTAACCTGTGCATCATCAGTCTTAGCCCCAGCCTTCTCGTCCTCGTCCTCCCCCCGCGCGAGTCCCCGTTCCCCGCCAAGAATCTCAAAGGCCCGCGAGAGCACATCGATGAAGTGCTTGTGCGACCTGTTGCTCTCCTCCATCTCGAAACTGGGGTTGGCGGAGACACGACGTTGGAACTCGGCATAGTGGCTCGTCCGAAGCTCAATGACGGACTTGAGCAGGCGGAGGATCTCGCGCGGGACGCGCCTCATGTGCTTGCCGATCAGCTCGGCCAACGGCACGAAGCCCGCCGAGTCGAGTTTCCCGCTCGTGTTCAGCCTGGCCTTGGCCTTTCTGACGGACAGGATGGCGTTGCTCGCCGTCACCAGCAGGAAGACGAGCTTGCTCGTCTCCCGCTTGTAGGCGAGGTATGAACCTCGGAGGAGCATCGGCGAGGGAGTCAAGCGGAGATGATCTATTAGGTGATACAACGTATTGCGAGCTGCTTTGAGCGAGAAGCCTGAACAAGAAGAGGGGAGCGTTGGGTTGCAAATGGTGATGAAAAGAATAACGCGTCCCGCGCGGAAAACGTCGGCGTGAGAGACAAAACACACCCAGTGGAGAACGGTCCGTTTGTCCGTTTGCCCTTTTTCTGTTTCTGTTTTTGTTATTTTCTTTTCGCACAGCTGTAACGGTTGACGCGAAGTCACGGTGTGATGTCATGACAGCTGTTCTGCAACTGGGAGCCAAGGCTTCATTCCATCCTCACTTCTCCCCGGGCCGCAGAGCTCGCCATGTTGAAATTGCACTCCCTTCTCCCTCTACCTATACGGGATTGTAATGGACGGCTCTTGCTCCCCCAAGCAAGGAAAACCTTGACTCACAGCGCTCCTGTCAAGTCGTCCATCGAGCCTCGGAGGCCAGTTCCGGCCACGGCAAACGCTGACAATGCTCCTTGTTCGAAGACATGTTGCAAACCATGACAAGAGACCAACTGTTGTCTGTTCGGTAGAAGAATACAAGCGGGTACATGATTCCAAACATGATTCTCAAAAAAGAGGCATATATACGTCTATGTACAGCTAGATAGGTAGTCGAGGATTGGGAAAACGAGCTGCTATCCGCCCTTCTTCCAGACTTTTTCTTCTTATTCGCCTTCTCAACTCCATGCGCAGTGGAATGCAGACACCACGTTGCCGACCTCCAGAAAGTCACATGGCATAAAGAGTGCACGGATCCTAGAGCTCACCTCTGGCCTTGAGCTCTTCATGCGCCTTCTTCTGCTTATCCCACATCTTCTTCAACGCCTTGGTTTGGCTCTTGGGCACGTCGCTCCCGTCCTTCATCTTGGTGGGCAGACCCGCCGCATCCCAGGCGCTGTATCGCTCATCCTTGCGGAACATGTCCTCTGGGGGCACCCTGGCCTTCTCCTTGGCTTCTTGCTCGGCCTTTTCGCGAGCAAGCCGTGCCTCTTCCTTCTTGGCGGCCTTTTCGGCCTCGCGCGCGGCCTTCTCCTCTCTGGCGCGGATGAGCTCCGCCGCCGGGATGAACTTGATGAGCGACGGCTGGCCTTCTGGACGATCGTCGAGGTACACGCCCAGGTTGGTGAGATCCGCGTCGCGGATCCGGTCGGTCAAGGCGAGAATGGCTCGCTTCGTGTCCGGCGTCTGTGAGGAGACAATGCGACGGAGCTCATCGCGCATCTGCGAGATGACGCGCAGATACGGGAAGGCCAGACGCTCAATGTCGCGGGT